GCACTCTCGTGGCTTCCAAAAGGCCAGTATCCAAATTTGCATCTCTTTCTGGGGCTCAGTAGCTGAAGCCTGTGAAGTTGTACAGTTTCACTTTAAAAGAGAGTGCTTCCATATAGATGATGTTAGGTGTATGCTGTTTCCAGAATTAGGTGAATCTTAAGGTCAAAGAGTTGTGTATAAGATAAAACAGGCGACTAAAAAAAGGGTCACTTACTATTCTGCCATCTACTCTAACCAGCATTCAACGCCTGCTGATAACCTTGTTAAAACCAATCTACTGGCTGAAATGTGAGAGAAGTATAGGAATCCATTAAGCTGTTTAAAATTTACTGGAATAATGCTTGTTAGATATGAAGCACCTTCCCCTTGAGGACTGGACCTAGTATGGTCTAAACTTGATCATACTAATCTCACAAATACTGTGTTATGGTAGGTAAGTATCATTTCTTACAGATAAGGTTGCTGAGACACAGACAAATAACCCCAAGTAATACAAGACCCAGAAATAAAACACAGCATTTATTATAAAGAAATTAGAGAGTAAATTGCAAATGACTGTTTGCCTCTCCCTAAGACTGCTACTGCCTAGCAACGATTGCCAGATAGGATAAACATCATTGGCTGTAAAAAGTTTAATGCTTAAAAGACTTTAGGATTACAGATATGCAGTCTTGAAGTGTCTCCGTACTATTTTAAAATATTATCTGGCTTTGCATTTTTGGTCGAAGAGTAGTCCCAGCCTTGCCTGTAGTGTGTGTATGTATGCGTGTGCACACTTATATGTATATAATGGAATTTGTATTGCAGCAATGCTATAATTACATATAGTAGGGAAATACTTTAGCAGCCAAAATAAAAATTAGAAATCTTGCACACTGCATGCAGAAGCTTCTCAGGAAATCATGCGATCTGATCTCACTCTTCCTTTCAGGCGGGGGACTGTGCCTCCTAATTTCCCCTGACAGAAAACGTATCACCTCATCAGTAACCCTAAAAATGACAAAGCATCCTCACTGAAAAAGACCAGCTGTGAAACGCTTTCACTGCCACCACAGCAAGGGGGACAGGGAGAGAAGGGATGTACTTTAGAAATTTCAGGAAAGTAGAATATTTTACCTTGCTACCGGTAGAGTCCTGCTGTTATGCCTTGCATTACCGCAAAATGTTCATCTTGTAGACAGTGTGTGACCCTTGAAGAATTCATTTGAGCTAGAGGGTACATGCCCATTTAATTCTAAAAGAGTAGTTTATACACCTGAATCTGGATACTGTGAAATTCTCTTACAGTGTTTGAGCCAAGGCAAACATCTTGATGCAAAATCTGCACCTGCAGATCTCTTACATGTTTAAGTCACAGAACAAATGCGGCTCAGTCACATGTTGTGCTGCATGCATTAACCTATAGCAGTGGTAGTCTCATCTGAAATTACTGTGCAGTTTCTTAAAGACATTCTAACACTACTAATAACAAAATTTGAATTCATTGAAATATTTGCTATTGCAATTTGGCTTAGATGAGTAAGTAAATAAACCCAAAATTCCCTTGAATCCTTGGTTTTCTGAATTGCACAAAATTACATTCAGAGTCTGTGTGTCAAATGGTACATCAGAACAGAGGATCTTTGTAGGCAATTATTGTAACATTTATCATTACTTCAGTATATTTGTGTTGTGCTCTTTCTTTTCTTTTTTTATAAAACAAAATTATGGTGAGATGAGGACATTTTCTCGTCACTCTGCGTATTTGTGTAACTCTTGCATCACCATACTTTTCTCCACACTAACGGTGTAACTTTGTAAGTCAGTGACGGAGATGAGTGGTGTATACATATATATGGACATTACCTCTGATAAATATACTAATATTGTATTTTTATATAAATATACTACAGGGGACCAGCTTTCTATTACAGTGAAATTACACAGTCACGTAGAGGACTGCATAATTTACATTGCTGCATGAATGGTTGTCGTGTTGCAAAGATAATTTTCAAGCTGCGAACTGGGTGAAAACTTGTCATGTCTGCATTAAGTGTTTGGACAGCCTGAAACTCAAGCCTGGAGAGTTTTGAATGTCTGTTTTTTTCATTTTGGTGGAGATTGGACACTTGCCATGTAGTGGAGTAGGACGCACTGGAGTAATTCAGGGTTTCCCAGAGCTGCTGAAGTGATGATGAAATCTGTGGCTGGAGGTTTTTCTGTCATCTGTTGGTCATCTGTTGTGTGACAGAAATGGTGTCCATTTTTTATGTGAGGTGAACATCTGCCAGTCATTTGACTAAAAGAGGAGCCAGAGGACCCTTGGGAAAGAGTGGGACACATAAATGTTCCAGCAGGCCCAAGGTTGTGCACCTTCTGCTGACAGCCCCATAGAGATGATGACTGCAGTAGATGACCAGTCCTTTGTAATCTACCCTGTGCAGGATGCAAAATCCTTCCAAGTTCTGTATATGTATGTATAGGTATATTCTGTACATATGTATGTGTATTACAGACTTAAGTAGTGTTATATACATGCGCCAAGTATAGCTTGGCACGTTTGCGTTCTGATCTGGATGGAGGTTTTTATTACATATAGCTCTCTAAGTCCAAAGTGTTATATTCAGATCCAGGTCTTGACCAGCAGTGAAATTATGATATTGATTTATGTATATGTTGTGATTCTAAACATTTCAGAGCCAAGTTTACTGGCTGAAGCCTTTCTCTTGCATGTCAAATTAATGACTGTAATAATGAACTTTCATTGGCTTGGTTTCAAAGATTTATGTATCGTAGTGAGTTGGGAGTTAATAAATGTTAAAACTATGTGAGTAGCTACTTTGATTTGAATGAGTTTAGCAAAACTTTAGAAAATGCAACAGTTTTTCTTCTAAAATGTATCCAGAAAGCTAATATATTGGGAAAACAACTTGCCCATCCCAAAGTTTTGTAGAATCGGTCACCAAATGCCTGTTAAAATCAAACTTAATTAGATAAAGAAATCATGCCTGATTTTAACTTAATACTTTGCTTTGACTCTACAGTATGTCTGAGGGTGTAGCAGTAGGGTGTTTCTTTTTTTTGTGCAAACTGTTTCTTAACAGACACTATTTTAGAATTCCGTAATGAAAATATTTATTAGCAAATAGATATAAAAACAATCTGGCTAGAGCCAGGAGGGGATTATGGTGGTAGTTGTTTTACCTTGCTTGTTTCTGGCAGTTACGTGATGCAGTACTATTTAATAAAACATAATTTATGCAGGGGTGAGATTTTGAAGTCCTTGAAAATACTAGCACGTGTAATCCTGTATAGGTTAAGGAGCGAGTAATGCAGTGATAGTAAGTCCCAAGGACATAATTATAGGATGGTGTTTGGTTGTGTATTGCTTGTCCTGCCAACATGAAGAAGCAGGCACACTGAGAAGAATATGGTTGGAGAAATTTGAGGAATATAAACAGGGCATGCTGGTGAGACTGATGTAGAGGAGACATCTCTTCCATCTCCTCTGGTGCCCCATGTCACTTTATATCGCTCATTTGAAGATGTCTAGGCATTTCTTTAAAATTATCCAAGTTGGAATTGAACCAGAGAATGGGAATAAATTACTTGCATTACAGAATTCCTCCGTATTTTAAAGATGCTTACATTCAATGTTAATAATGAAGTTCCTCATTTAATTCAGTATATTTCTGCTCCTTGTACCAGCCATAAATTCTCTATAGTCCTATATGTGCTGATATACTAGAAAATGATGCATCTTGTTTATTATTTCAATATCATTAAATGGCCAGGGGGATTCATGTAGGAGGCATTTTTACACAGGGCTTTCGTCTGCAAAACAGCTGTAGCAATAGCCATGTGAGGTTGCATATTTCCGTCTCGTACAGCGAGAGCGAGGAAAAAATTGTTTTTGATGTGACTTCAAATGCAGGCACAAACTATGTGGAGAGGACTTGCTTTTTTGTGCGTGGTTCCCAGCAGCAGTGGCTTAGCAGCCCAAGTTCATTGGTACTTGTTACCAGCTCTGGAGTCTTTTGTGTGTTTTCCAGATATAGCTGGCTGGAATTTATTCAACCATTTCATTTGTTGGCCTATAAGAAAGGGAGACAGTTCCCTCGCTCTCTCCCTTACCAGTGTGGCTTGCTACAGTTCCTACATGATGAAAAAGATATGAGAAGATAGCTTTGAGCGCCTCTGTGGAAGAACTTCTAGAAGGACAGATCAGAATAGTTGGTTTTAGGAGTTGTGCTGCTGCCTTGTTTTTATTTTCAGTGTGATAAATGGGATTATGCCTGTTCATGTGGATTCTCTTCAGAAATTAAAGCTATCAGTTTCCAGTGTGGACACACATTTGAATGTGATTGAGCTACAGTTGAGTTACAGCTCCAGAAGTCCTACTTCCCGTCTTAGCTGCAGTCACAGTGAAGGTGCATACTCTTAGCCTGCACATCCTGTGAAGGAAGATGTCGTGGTTAAAGGCACAATGAAAGATCCCTCAGGTTCTGCTCAGGTGTCAGCTGAAGTCCAGCAGTGCCATCTTCCACAGCGTAACTTCAGTGATAGTTCTTAGATCCAATAATCTGACATTTATGACACAACATAAGAAAAGGCAAAAAAATTACATGACAGTACAGTTGGAGACCACAGTTCTTAGAGAGTGGATGCAATCTTTTAAGATACACAGAATTCATGAAGAGAACTTTCTTACTTCTTAGTAGGTGTTATGACATCAAATTCAGTTTGCAAATTTGTAATCTTTGTGTGGGCAAATGGTGGCTAATTCCTAAATTTGCTTTCTGTCACTCATTTATGACAAAATGCATTGTTATCTTAGCAGTACTACAGACCAGATCGTAATAATGTTAGTAGAAATGTGTAATGTGGTATTTGCTAATAGCATATAGTGTAGCTCGTGAATATTTGGCATTTTCTCCTTCCCAGTTGCTTCGTAGTTTAAAAAGAATTTCTCGTTTGAGCTTGTCACTTCTGATGCCGATTCATGCTTTAATGTCTTCCAGCTTGCCACTTTAGAATTCCCTCCAAAGAAACTCTTTGGAAACAAGGATGAACGAGTGATTGCAGAACGACGGAGTCACTTAGAGGTAATGCCAACTTTTGAACATGCTTCTGCAGTGTATTTAGGTGCAATACTCTCTGCTTGACCAACAGAAAGCATTCCCATATGTCAAAGTTAAATAGCCTGCATGTAACTATGAGGTTACTTGCTGCCTCATTTAACACAGGAGATGGCAGCAATAGATTGCAAAGTAATGAAACATGCCTTAAAAAAAAAATTAATCCTAGTCTAGGAAAAGAAGCATCTCTTTAAAGATATTCCTAGGAGGTACATTTGTTAAAGGAGGCAGGGTTGTGGGTGAGTGTTCACTGTAGACAGGCGGTCTCTGTACAGGACAAGATTGAAAAAAAATTGCTACTTTAAATGCAGTTTGTTAGCTGAAGATTTACTGTTTTATCGTAGTTATTATATCCAAATATCTCGTGACAGAAGGAAGGCAATGTTTAGACATTTTTGAGCTGTATTTTGCAACCCACCTTTCTTAGTGTGTTTTTTTCTTTGAATTACTGTTAAAAATGAAGTTTATTGAGGACAAGGTTACTGAGTTTGTAAGTGTTTGGTGTTTTTTGCTTTTTCTGCAGTGCTGTGTGGATGGCATAATTTTGACTCTTATGACACATTAGGTCTTTATATTTCTGTGTTAATGCATGTGTTATTGCTGCCCAGGGGCAGGAGGTGGGGTTTTGGGAAAGAAGAAAAGGTGTGAACAAAGATTAAACTATACACCCTGTAACTATATTGTGGTCACATGGAGATTACTTGATCATGCAAGTCACTAAGAATTATGTTCTTTGTAGAGCTAAAGTGGCATTAAGTAGAGCTTTAGAGAAATTAATATAAAAGTAGATTGCTTCCAACTGGAATTTTTCTTGCATGTTTTGAATTTTTTCTACATACTTCACTTTTTCTTTGATCTACAAACAAAACATCCTCCCACTGACTTTTGATGTGAGGCTGTCTTACATGTAGCATGAAATATATTCTCTTTTTTTTTGTTTCATGTCCTCTATAGAGGGCGTAAAGGTATGGCCACATTCCAGTGTAGTACTCAATTTGCATGTTTTTGTTCCAGTAAGAAATTTTATCCCTTAAACTTTCTGACCTTTCATTGATTTGCCAACAGGTTTTACTGTTAGGTTTCTACGTGTTAAAACTGCTGTGTATAGTGATGCTTTGATCATAGCCGTATGGTACTTACAGCTCTTTATATAGCCAGTTTTTAGCTGAAAATTAAGTTGTATCTATTTTAGCAAATTTAAGTCATTAAAACTTACTACCTGTATATTTTGGAAACCTAATAATAGTATATGACCACTGTTCACATTAATAGGTTTTGCCCCGTGCCAAATAGTACACTTGGCTGTGCCACTCAGTAATCCTGACAAATCACTCAGTGTTGGAGAAACTGAAGATCCTCCATGGCTAAGGGAAAGTTAGATAAAGAGGACAAGGAGCGAAGCAAATGTTACCATCCTTGCCATGAGGAATTTGATGCAACAGGCTGGTCAGAACCCCCTTATCTCTATATCTCTAATAATGAGATTTTCTTTTCATTATATGTGTTGCAGCAGTTTGCTCTGGCTTTACCAATGGCTGGAGAGTTTCAGCTAACATAGCTGCAGCCTACTTAGTGAAGAGTGGGAGAAACCACCTGAGTAGTGATGGTTTCCAAAGTCATGTAATGCTTTGAAGGCTGAAAGCACGTGCTGAATTATACTGGGAAAGTATTTGGCAGGCAGAGAAGGTGCGAGAGTGGAAGATGGCACAGGCACCAATTCTGTTTAAAATATTGGATGTTACTGACTCATGGTTTTCAGTCTGGTATGAACCTTGAGCCCACTTCAGTGGACTAATCTGAAAGTGGTAAATGGAGGGATTGCCTCTGTTAAGGACTTGGTTTCTTGGCCTTTTGAACATAGAGCGTTTCTTGCATGGAAATTTAATCAGGTAAAAGGTGAAGGCATTAGACCTTGATAACAAGCAGAAACATGGCTTTTATTCTGTTGGTTCTCATACCTGATCCTGCACCTTGGTTTGCTGAAAACACTTTGCGAGCTCTTTCAAGCCTCCTAGGTGATGTTATAGCTGCAGTGTGATATAAAAGCTTGTTTGATTGTTTCACATGGTTAGTCAAAAGCTAATGAGCTAATACAGCATTTTTAGAAAAAGCGAAGCACAACTTCTAGGCCAACAAAAATAAGTATTCTTATCCAGTGTCTGAGCTGACTTTATTGACTAAAAATAGATGACAGCCTGACAGATCTTAGTCTTATAAGTGTTCTGAACAAATACTCTGTATTGTAAGATCATTGGTACAGCTGTCGTCTTGGTGGTAGATGACAAAGAAATTACTCTGCTCTTCCAGTTTTTACATTAGGTATTTATATTTCCTGAATAGGCTGTGACTTCACATTGTTTTTCCTTAACTTTTTGGACTGGAGTAGTACAGCTTTGGCTAGTCCAGTGCTTTTCACAGGTCATCTCTGAGCAACAGCAGTTTCTTTTTTTTTAATTTACATTTTTTTTCTTTTTCAAGTATGTACATAAGAAATTATCATTTAAACTCCAGTGTATACCTGTGTGAGGGAAAAGACAACTTAAGCCATCATTTCAGTCAAACAGCCTGATTAGAGTATTTCCTGGAATTAGCAGCTGGGTACTGAAATGGCCTTGCAGACTCTTTTCTTTACATCAAAACTAAGTTGCAAGCTCACAGTCTGATCTGGGAAAATAAAGCAGATAGACTGGGAGTCATTGTGGGAGCAAAACTATGCTTCCAATTAACTAAACATACAACAATCAGAGGGCTGGTTCTAGCGCAGATATCTAAACTGTTATTTTAATTGACTCACTTTGGCTTTAGTCAGGGAAATTCTCCTTGTGCCTAGTTATAAAAAGATTTGTCCAAAACATGCTTCGCGGGACAATTTAGGATGAGTTTGGTTTTTCCTATGCATCACTTCTCAGATTCTTGCCACAGCAGAAGTGCTGAGGACAGCAGCAGGGTTTGTGGTACAGAATCACACAGAATCACAGAATGGTAGGGGTTGGAAGGAACCTCTCCACAACCTCCCTGGGCAGCCTGTTCCAGTGCTCCATCACCCTCAGAGGGAAGAAGTTCTTCCTCATGTTCAGATGGAACTTCCTCTGCTTCAGTTTGTGCCCATTGCCCCTTGTCCTGTCGCTGGGCAGCATTGGAAAGAGTTTGGCCCCATCCTCCTGACACCCACCCTTCAGATATTTGTAAGCATATATTAGGTCCCCTCTCAGCCTTCTCTTCCTCAGGCTGAACAAGCCCAGCTCCCTCAGCCTTTCCTCGTAGGAGAGATGCTCCAGCCCCCTCATCATCTTCGTAGCCCTCCGCTGGACTCTCTCTCTTCTTGATGCACCCCAGGATCCCATTGGCCTTCTTGGCAGCCAGGGCACGCTGCTGGCTCTAGGTTACCCTGTCATCCCCCAGGACACCCAGGTCCCTCTCCACAGAACTGCTCTCCAGCAGGTCAGCCCCAAGCCTGTACTGATGCATGGAGTTGTTCCTGCCCAGGTGCAGGACCCTGCACTTGCCCATGTTGAACCTCATCAGGTTCCTCTCTGCCCAGCTTTCCAGCCTGTCCAGGTCATGCAGAATGGCAGCACAGCCTTCTGGTGTATCTACCACTCCTCCCAGTTTGGTGTCATCAGCAAACTTTCTGAGGGTACATTCTAACTCTTCATCCAGGTCATTGATGAAGAAGTTAAACAAGACTGGGCCCAGTACTGACCCCTGGGGGACACCACTAGTTACCAGCCTCCAACTAGACTCAGCGCCACTGGTGACACCCCTCTGAGTTCTGCCATTCAGCCAGTTCTCAATCCACCTCAAAGGTGATTGCCTTTCAAGGCAAGTAGAATCTGGGAGGCTGGCTGTAAGGTGTCATAAGTGAGATGAAATTATTTGAGTAAAAGACTCCAGAGCCCCTAATTCTGAGGACTGTGATTGAAAGTTACAATAAATGCAAAGTTTATGTAAATATTAAGTTCCTTTATTTATCCTTTTTATCCTAGCTGGTACAAATGCTTAATGATCAAAAGCTTAACAATGCCTTGTTGGTAGGAAAGCACGTTATGTGTACTATTTTTGTGTGAGATGAACCTGAGGAAAAGTCTTTGATCTCTAGTGTGATACACAATTGCAATGTAAACACTTTTGCTTTGGTGTTTGTTGGTATGATATAAAGTATTTTGACCAATATCTTACATTTCCATAGAGGTCTGGAAAATAACAAGCAAGTTTACACAAAGGCTTTGTGTATACATCTTAAGAGAAAACATCTAAATCGTATTTAAAATTACCTATCTGAAATGCCCTATTGCAATCTATTAATTTAGTATTTCATCAGGGACCTGTTGCAAGGCAAAACTCTAAATTAATTCTTCCTCATTCTAAAGACTGTAATTTCACTTCAGAGCCAACCTTGCTTGATTAAATCCCCATTGAATGAAACAGCCAAGAATTCTTTGGATTAAAGTTAATGAATAGAAGTTAGTGTGTATCTATCCTTTCATGCAATTAGAAATCAGTTGATAAGGGTGTGGAGTCCTTTTTTTAAAATGAAATCAGATTGATGTATATTCCTTTTTTTATTTTTTAAGCAAAAACTTTGCAAGGGAAATGCAGGTCCCAAGAGGTACATGATTCAGTGAATGTATCTATTCTTGTTTTAACTGCAGAATATCTTTTGGTATTCCTTGGTGAGTTGCTAGATCTGTAGATGACAGTAAAAAGTTCTCCTGAAATCCCAGCTTCTTTGGATACTGCATTACTGTATGGTATCATTCCCCTTATTATTTTTCTTCTTCTCTTAGACTTATGCTTTGTTACAATAATGAAGATTATTATTAGCCACATTTTCTAGGCTGCCATAGCAGATTGAATTTTTCTTCTTGACTCCTTGGTCAGAAGCCTGGCAGCCACGGACCCACTAGGCTACTTTCTGCTCCTGCTGTCACCAACGTGCTTAGGAAAAAAAACAACTGCTAGGCTGA